TATATATATATATATATATCCACAATTACCGAGGATACTGTATATCATCCGCTTTACATTCCGCCAATAAAGCGATGTGATGCAGGATCGCGTTGGCGTTATCGCGTGGGACATCTCTCGACCTGACCATCATCGAAAGCCTTCGTGAATTCTTTCGCTGATGATCCTCATTATATCGCGAAGTACGGGAACATACGCGCGACTTGCACGAATATATTCAAGCCATGTATCCACGCAAAGCCGTAATTGGTACAGCGATCACGTGCCATTGCCCGAAACAATGTCGATGCATGATGCTTGACTTAAAAAAAAAAATGGTCGACGAGAGTCAACAAATGTATATGTGTACGTGACTACGCGTATGTGTTTATATGACAGGAAGTGGCCAAGGTTGGCGACGCACACGTATTCTATTGTAGAATCGATTACATCAACTGTCTCAGTAGAGAAAAGTGGGCCGGATGATATAAAAAGTTACATTAAATTTGACATTGTAACTTCAAAAGTTTACAGCTTTTTTCTCTCGCCGTTTTCGCGATTGCATATTTTGAAAACAGTGCCAGCACGCTTTTTGCGCTAATGATAGTGAAGTAAAGTTTGATCTAGCCAGGATTTCTTAAGCGTCTCATCATAAATCTTTTGATATCTTTTAATCTTACTCTTCATCTATCTTCACCGAGCATCTTCTTCTTTTTACGTTTAGCTAGAGTGCATTCTCAACCGCAATTATAGAGTACAGCCTAATGAAACTCGCCCTGAAGGCCATAAAGAATGCTGGAGTGCACGTTAGAAACGCAGAATGTAATAACGATAAGGTGTTAACTGTGTATTTCCGATAATGTGTTTCGGTGGTAAAAAAAAAAGATCATGCCTTTAATTACTCCGAATAAGGAAACTGCTAAAACACGCAACATAGCGATACGATTCGATGGTTTTAGATCAATTAATCCTCGCGGCAGAAGTTCCTGCTCTCTCTCTGACTTATGATTCGTGATAGTTCATCCATAAAATAATAGACTGAATTATTGATGAAATTCCAAAACCGGACTGACAGCCCCCTCGAGATTATATTCAGACGAAGCGTAAAAATGGAGCATCCCAGCCTCCTTTCCCATTCATTTCCTATTGATTACGCGGGATGACCACAAATTCGCACACTTATATCATGTAAGATGTCATGTTATGTTGTGTCGCGAGTTTGTACTCATCATGTATTATCAGCCATCAATCGCGGTCTTTTATACGTACGCGTCTCATCCGCGACATCCGCATATTTCACGCTCCGTTCGAGATATAACTTTCACTAAATAATCTCCGTAATGTTACTTCGGTTATTTCAGGACAGCGCGCCATGCGTCAACCTTAAATCTTACGAGGGACGAGGATCGGGACGGGATCTGCAATCAGTGAGCGGCTAAAACGTTGAAGGTACGTCTGGATATCTCGATTAAGTTACTTCGATTCGTAGATAATTAATTTTTAAGTACATTTAAGTTGCTACATTCATAAAGGAATTTTAACATCTGAAATCGATCTCGAATAACTCCCGGAATAAATTGTCAACCTCAGGAAAAAGAGACATTGAATCTCAAGAGTATAAATGTTGAAAGCAAACTCCAGATGAAAGCAAACTTTTTAGTAAGAGCGGAACGAAGAGCGACTTTCAGTTAGCCTCGCGTCTGCCTGCGCGAGTTACTCAAGGCTCAAAATATAAATTCTCTATAAAGAGTCTCCATAAATTTATTCGCGTTATAATCTGTAAATATTTTATTTCTTTTGTATAAATCCTGATATTTAAATAGATGCAGGAATCCGAGCTAATCACCGTTATAGCGTGGCTAACGGGCTGTCATCGTGTTCATTCTTGGGACGCGTCGGGTCTGGCAAAACATCCGTCGCGTTTCATAGAAAATTCGCGTTCCAGGACTTCCAGGATAAACAACGATACCACGGCGCGGCGGTTAGTGTAACCGGGTATTTTGTTACCATGTACCATCACGCGAGTGCAAACGGCTGAGTCTAACGGTGTAGCTGGTCCGGCAGCGCATCGAAGCGTGCCCGAGAGATTCTCCTTCGTTCGCGGTCCTGCATCACGATTTGCCAGTCATCGTTAGACGCATCGCGAGAGTGGGATCTGACGAAGAGGAAAAGACGTGGAACGACCACGGAACGTTTCCCTATAACGATTTTTCTCGCGCCTTTTCCCCGCTTCTCATTTCCGCCGACGCACAATATGCGCAAAAATAATGAACGCACCAGCCAGGATACCTTTTTATCCTGGAGAAGAAATTAATTCGGTCTTGGGGAATTACATCGACACGGTGGCGTACGGAAAGTTAAGCTTATACATCTACATAATTTACAAACCGCAAAACACGCAACACGCAGAACGATGTACATTCTAAACAATAACGGTGTTTATATAACTCACTGTGTTGTTGTTGATATTAATGTGATATATCAATATGATGTGGATTTAATATCATGGATTTTAAATCCATAATGTTGATATAAACATCAGAGGTATATAATGAAATCCACACCATGTTTGATGTTTATATTAATTAACACCAGCACAATAGAATTATGTAGATACCGCATGGGGGTTAAATTCACACCGATATTTTTTAGAATGTATTACGTAAAATACACGCAGATAAAAATCATACGTAATGAATAAATTGCAACAGCGGTGATATTTTAATTTCGGATTGATATTTTAAAATCGAGTTAGAGAAATTCTTATTGTGCGTTTGATATTTTCCATATCGGAAATTTATAAAAAGGATTCTGATAAATGAGAAAATATAAAATTCATTCCGGCTACTTTTTGCTATTCTGTCATTGATTAATGCAGTCGCCGTAGCGTAAAAGTTAACGTAACAGAGTCTATATGTGGATCGCAAAACACAAATCTTCATTTTGCGTTCATTTTACGAATTATGTTTTGCGATTTGTGAATTATATAAAGATAACTTTTGATTTAGCGACGCGCGTCTCTCGCGTGTTAAAAGGATTCCATTTTTTGCATGACGCATTAATGTGCGGTGTTATAATAGTAAGTGAACTATGGAGTTATTATCCAGTTAAATCGACAATTTAGCTTATTGTTGAGGCATAATGCCGCTAGAAAATTTCTTACGGCTTTTTTTTTTCACTGGACACGGTAGTCGACTGCATGAGAAAGCGTCGAGATTGCGCCAGCGGAAGACCGGATATCAATCGCATCTTTTTTAATGGTCTCGCTGCTGAGCGGATAATGGCTGTGCCAAACGTATCTCAACATCTCACTGTGACGTGAAAGGGTTGAGGTTGATGGATAAACACGATAGAGTCGCAATAAAATCCCGCACGTTGCATCGGAATGCAAGCGAGTTGTTGCAGAAAGGGCATGACTCAACTTTTCTACGAAAATAAGTTCTATCAGAGGGGAACACTATACCGTTAGGGTAGCCTCGGCGATTCGCGCAGGAAAGCCTCGAGTCGCTTAAGACAAGGCTCTTCTACGCAATTTCATTCTTAATTATTTTTGATCTGGAAAGCGACGTAAACAGTCTCGTAAGAATATCTTTTGCCCTTGAAAAATTTATTTCTTACGATATAATAATTATTGTATATTAGTATTGATTACATAATTAATAATTAAAACTGATCACGTCTTTTCACAATGATTATATAAATCTCACTTGATTACTTCTATTAAAATTTTATTTTTTTGAATACGTACTTTACTGTCTAGATATAACTATCAAGATATATTTGTTTCAATATGATACTATGATAAAAAAAGTAAAAATAAAAAATAAAAGATAAAAGTAGAAGACATAAGTTTTCTATCTCTATACCTTTGCAAATGTTATGATATTAGAATAAAAATAAAACTGAATAAAAATTAAACTGAAATATTTTTTCCATGGAGAATATTTTAAGGAAAAATATGAAAATTTTGTTCTCATTGCATCTGTTTTGTTCTCACTTTACCTTTAAATCGTGTGATTCTTGTTGCATGCTTATTGTTCATATAATTTTTCTGCAACGTGTAAAGATATAGATAATTTGTGTTCTTAGTTAGGGATTCATTCTTACATTCCCATAGAATTAAAGACATGATTGAAGCTTTACTAATAGGACTGTTATTTTCAATTTCGAGATGCCGTCGAAGACAAACGTTCGAGGAGGACGAGAATAATTAAGAATCATAAAATTATTTGCGTAATGAGTTTCTTAAAGCATCGTACGAATATACCTCGTTTCTCAGCAGCCACGGGAGGTTGGAAAATGTAATATTACTGAAGGGATTATAATATAATTCAGCGCGCGCTTGCTATACGGCATTAAGAGATTTTTTTCTTTTCTTCGACTTTTACACACACATACAAACATAGATATATATATATATATATATAT